GTGCTGGACTACAGTTGTCGCATATATGCGCCAGCCAATGCATCGCGCTTGACGAGTCTTGTACGTGATAGATAAGGAACGTAGCCTCAGTGTGTAGTGAATGATACTATTGAACCATTTACGTATGCAACTGTGGTGATAGCAGTGGTATGACCTAAGTTTGACCAAGTGCTAGGAGATTCATCATGGCATTTTACTCAACCTGCACTATGCCGTACTTGAAACTTCCAGTGTTATTAGGAATCCTATTCAAAAGCTTCTTTTAGCTACAAAATACAAAATATTGAACAGCTTAGTGCTGAGAAGACGAGATCATAGCGTGTACATGGGCCACTCAAGGCTGTCTTCTCCACGACACAACGAGAGGTATTTGCGTTGCCTTATGGGTAAAACGTTTCCGGCGGAGACCTCCCCTGGCTGGATATCCCAATCATGCCCAATTGTATCTATCGCCAACCCTTCAACAAGTTGGCGACAGTGGCTATGGCTTACACGGCAGCCAACCAGATGCAAGGTACGAAGGTACGGCAGTTGACTCGAGTCAAGTGGGTCCACAACAATATCTGGTTCGAAATCAAAGGTACCGAGTGCAAGCTCCTCGACATGGGAAAACAAAGCGGCTGGAAACATGGACAACTTGTTCAAGTCCCCAATGTCTTGGGCATTCTCGATGAAAAGGCGTTTTATCTTGGCCTTTGCGAGATGTTGCCAGAGCCGCGCTGCGTCTTGCTCAGACATGTCCTCGTAAAAAGTGACGCAGAACGTTTGTAGATTTGAGCTGAGGGTTATGAAGGAGATAATACCCAATATCTGAGTCACTGTGGCTTGTCGAAGATCAAGCAATTCAAGTTGTGGTAAAGATATTGTATTTGCCGTTGGACTATAGTTCCCGAGCTCGTAGCCGATCAGTGTCAGGGAACGAAGGCCAGGACAGCAGGTCAGAGTAGCCATTAAATCTGGGCGTGTTAGATGGGTTGCGATATCCAGGTATGATACAAGTTTAAGTGTGGTCAAATTACGACAAGCAGGGCTGTTTGGAGGTAATACGACACCACTCATGGCCAATGTTTGGAGAGGCAGTAGAAAATGAGACAACCGGCTGTCGGAGAGCGCTTGAGAAACTTCGGTTTCATCGACCAATTGCCCATTACTAAGACATAGTTCTTTTGCATGGCATCGTGCGGCACTGGCAAATAAGCCAAATATTATGTCGTTCTGTTGCTCTAAACCCAATTGGAGATGGAGGGATGCAATACGATGTGCGTGAGGCTTCAAAAGTTCGATTAGCCTAATGCATTTCGCGTCATAGCCCAGTCGATGGTCTATCACATGTACATGAATCGGCAGCTGAAGACTGCGAGTGAGACAAAGCTGGGTTCGGCCCAAATAGCAATCCTCCTGGGGTCCACCGACAACTAGGTCCAGGTGAGACCAGAGGGATGGCGTGTTAACCGCAGCGCGGCGCCAGCGTTTATTGATGAGCATTACATTCGCGAGAGGTACAATCGGTCTGGTTCCGGGACCGTTTTCAGCATTATTCGTCATGCACTTCACCTCAGATAGTGATAGGATATAACCAATAAGCTCGGCGGGAAGTCGGGATATGGGAACAAGTGACTTGAAACTGTTGCGCATGCTACCAAGAGTGGCGCGTATTTGGCATATTTTTGAGTTATACACTTCCAATGATTCTAAGGCTGCATTAACCTGCAGTGTCTCGTCGGTTGTGAGTGCATCACCAGCGGCATGGAGTTGAAGCGCAAGATCTAGTTCAGCAGATTCTCTCAAGAACGATTCCAAAACAGGAGCAAGCTGTCTGTAAGAGTGATTCCAGCGATCAAATATGTTCAAATAATTCGTTTGGTCTCGCTGCTGTGATACTTGTGCCTGGAGGACCATATCAGGGCTGGGAGTGTTTCTATGTTGATGATAGGAACGTACGGGGGGCATGGCGGTGACCTTAGAACGAGTATTTTGTTTATTAATCGACCGACGTCTATAAGGGTACAAGAAAGCCCAACCGAAAGAGTGGTGGTTGGGCGAAAGACAGGAAAGCTTGGGCGCTTGGTAGCGTGCCTGATGTCAAGGCGAGTAGATGCTATCCGACTCACAATGTTGAGTTCTTCCGCCTCGTGAAAACGTTTTTCAGCCCTCTTTTGTTCGTTTATTGATTTTAGACTGGATGCAGTTTACATATTCCGTGGCTGGAAGTCCCATTTGCTGAGTCAGCTGAATGTGACGTCAATGGATTAGCCCCTCCTAACACCCAACCACCACGTTATGAACACAAACTTTGCACGACGCGTCGTAAGCGGGAAGAAGGCTAGATTTCAAGATGGCAGCACCGATCTGGACCTAGCGTATATTACGGACCAGGTCATCATTATGGGCTTCCCTGCTGATGGTCTCGAAGCCCTATATCGTAATCGCCGAGAGGATGCTCGCAGATTTCTTGACGAGAGGCACAAAGACAATTATTGGATATTTAACTTGTGAGATCCTACCGTAATTTTTGGTTGCATTTTTATGTTTTGTACAGCTGCCCCCTGAAAGAGAACTCGTATCCTGGGGAGTATTTTTATAACAGGGTCAGTAGGTACCCGTTTCCGGACCATCAGTATGTTTTCAATTTCCTTCGCATCCTTTGCTTAAACGAGGGTATTCAAGTGCTCCCCCCCTCGCGATACTTCCCCTTGCGGCCCGAGAAATCAGGGAATGGTTGGCGGGAGGCGAACATCGAGTTGTTGTGTTGCACTGTAAAGGTGAGTGTTATCGTCCTATTTGACGGACTATAAGCCAACATTGTTATTATAGCCGGCAAAGGTCGCTCAGGGACGCTTGCTTGCGCTTATCTGCTTACTCTCGAGCAGACGCCCACCCCTCCCAGACTCCAACGGAGCTATGCTTCGAAAGAATGGGCGGAACGGAGAGCAGAGATGTTGATTGATGAGGTTGAGTCTGACGAAGATGAAGTTCCGGATCCATCAGCATCAAAGCCCAAGACGGAGATGCCCTCAACAGGCATACTCAATTCAAAGAACGGTCGTCTTACAGACTCTCCTTCCGCAACCCTGGACATCCCCCCTACCGACCCTGCTTCCACGAATCCATCTCCTGTTTCGACCAACTCCACAAAGCAAGCAACAACGCTTGAATCTGTGATTGCGTTGCATACCTCTCGTCGGATGCAGACCTCTTCTGATCCTAGCAAAGTAAAACAAGGCGTCTCAATACCCTCTCAACGAAGATTTCTTGGTTACTGGAGTCGTCTAATCGAAGGCGCTTCTCCCGCTGGTATGTGGGGTATCAATAAACCCACGAGCGACTCTTTGCCCGCGGATAGCTTGCCCGATGCCCAGCAACTCATACGCTTGGGTACTATCCGCGTGACTATGCGCGACGACGCGAGTCTGAAACAGCGCGGGTTTAGGTTTATCAATTCATTTCTAGATCGCGCTGTAGGTGGTGGCGCGGATGCGAAGAAGGGCAAGGGTGAGGTTTGGGTATCGTTAGCTAGGTAAGTATTTATCCGTCTTGTAGTCCGTGACCTTATCCAGAAGATAGATACGATGATAACCTAGTGGAGATGCTTGAGAGATGGGAACAGCGTACCAGATCTAAAGACAAGGGCATCGGCCATCGTGAACACGGCGTGGAAGCAGACAAGAACGAAAAAGAAGGAGAAACGGCACTAGCGAAAATATTCGAGGACGGAACCTGGGACAACAAGAAGATGGTTCGGAGCTTCGCGCGCATGGGCGTCACTGATCCTCAGGATGTCACAGAAGGCAAAGTCAATGACAAGGATGTGAGTGCTGTGACCCACCGTCTTGTCTCTCGCTTAGCATATGACTAGGCCGTGGTCAAACGTACCCACGTTTTGCACCCTCTGAAATACTCAAAATGGCTCAAAGTCGACAAGAAACATGTACCAAGTTCTTCTCGGCTTACCGTACCTGGTACATACAGGGGAAGTGGAGACGATAGCGATGCTGCTTCCGCGAGCTCGATGAGTACTACAGCTACAGGCGTCGCCGCTGCGGTCACCGAGGCCAAAGCCCAAAAGAGTACGAACAAGGAAGAGAACAAGCAAGAACTAGAAGAGGTAGAAATAAACCCTGGTGTAGTGCTCAATGCGAGGCGAGAGGTGCGAGCAAAACTTTACATGGGACAGGTGAGTACAAACCACCGTCAAATAGAATTACGTTCTCATAGGAGACCTAGGTCCCGATGGGATGGATGTGGTTCATCCCAGCTTTCCATATGGCTGAAAGCGAAGTAGAAACAACAATCAAGCTCACACGAAAGGAGGTCGACTTTCCGCTTGGTGTAGGAGCTTGGATTGAAAGTATTGAGATTGTCCTCAGCCGTCTGGAAGATGATTCTACCGAACCGACGTCCACCCGGTCTGGTGGTGCCCCGAACATTAATGTCACCGATGATATCCGTTCCCGCGATATGCTGAACGAAGACAACACTGATGCTGGAGAAATGTTTGCCCATAAGCCGCCGAGCAGAGTACAAAGTGCAGCGGAGGGGGAGGGGGAGGTTCAGGGAAAGGGAGAGTCCGGTGCTGGAGGTTTATTACATGGATTGAGTAGGCTGGTGGCAGGAGAAGGATCGACTGCAGCAGTAAACGCGGCGCAGGCCGCTGACTAGGAATTCGGTATCTTGATTAACAGGATCTTGCTTGCTGAATAGGGAATATCATTCATGTAAACTTTTATTGTTTGTGACCCGGATCGCGAAATTGCGAGCAACTAGGCATCCAACTATTACGCTGTTCGCACTCCAGTCCGAATAAAGGCTCGTCGTCCAAGGCAAATTCTCAATGGATAGATATTCAACTGTCCATTCCGTCTATAACCAAGTTTAAAGGAAGGTTTTACTACCCAAAATAATTCACGTTTGGTTGTCAATAGAGCACAGGGGGAAGGAGCGGCTGGCACGCTCATACTTACTAGCTCCTATCCATGTCGACAAATCAAAATAGCTAAAATTGACGAGAGCGAGATTCGAACTCGCGCCCCCGAAGAGACACGGAAGGTATGAAACCTGAACCGTGCGCCGTAGACCACTTGGCTATCTCGCCCTTGCATAGCGACGTAACAAAGTCAATCTATTCTCCCACGTGGGTGGGTCGTAAATATCGGTTGGACTTGTTTACCTTGCTCTGGAATAACCGGCAAGGTTACTGTGCGTGAAAATGATATCCTGATTTTACATAAGCTTGGACTGCTCCGCTCAAGTTGCGATCAACGGACTGAGTGAAACCTTGGTACACATGGAAAGGAGTGTTTCTGGCTAATCATGACAACGTTCTGCGCCTTTCCCACTGACCCATCAAGACCGAATCATAATTTAGAGAGCCGAGCAAGTTCACGTATTCTGGGAATTACAGAGCCGCATAACCACTAATACAGAGCATGTAAAGATGTGAAATCCAGCGTGTTGAGTTCAGTAATATGGTATTAGCCTAAGCTATCACCCATCGTACCTCGTCGCATCATCGCGTCCGTATAATGAATCCTCATCGCTATGAGCTGGAATACCTCTTCTTACTTTGCTTCTCAGCAGCTTGTATGTGATAGTCGCGTGCGCGAGTGTTTCGAAGTCTTTTTGTTTATTCCACATGCTGGCAAGGAGGTAGAATTAGATAGCTACGATTCAGTCTCAACATTAAAATAGTCTATATGGGCGCCATGGATCCTGGGCCAATCACTCCCAAAGTAACGCTTGCTTTTTTACAAACCAGCATATCATGAGGGCGTCATGAGGTGGCTGTAATCTAAGATAGTTAGATAAGATAATCGCTTGTGGTAGCGCCGAGCGGCAAGGCATTAAGTGGAGGGTGGTGCCGGATGCTTATGCTATCATTGATATCTGTATCTGTTACGAGCCACCTCCACCTGGCAAATATAGAGTTTTTGTAGATCTGATACTCTAACTTGCTCTAAACGTCATGGCATCACCAATAAACCATCAAACTAGTGATGAACAGGAGAGCGTGTACGCATTTGGGGGGGGGGGAGCAAATAGTCCATCGATCCAGGCCCATCTTACGGTGTGTCTTTCCTTCGCAACTGGGCTTAGAACGAGCTCCTTCGCGGCGCCAGACCCGGTACGGTTATAACAGCATGGATGATCTAAGTTGATCTGCAACTCCTATCGTAATGTGATAGGCTGTGACACTCAAAAGCATACGCGCCATCAATGTCATCGAACCGGGGGTATGGGATGTGACTATAGCACTCAAGAGCCGAAAGGTCAGACCTGTCTAATTTCTCTTCCTTACGCTGATGTGACCTCAGGGCGATAATGCCGTAGTGTGCCTTCCTTTCGGTGTCGGTTCACTTCTCCTCCTGTCACTTCTGAGTCGAAGGGCTTTGGAAGGTATTGAGGTAGAGAGTTACTGCCTGGTCGTTGAACGTACCGTATTCACTGTTATGGAATTTGGTAGACCCCATAAGCTCTTCTTGTATACGATCACCAGGAAATTCTAATAAAGACGGATATGCTGGAGAAACCATTGTACGTCTTTTGAGATCTCAAACTAAAAAGACAAGAAGACTCCGAACTCATTTTCGATTGCGTGTGCACCAAAACGCTTAAATGCCATGCCACGACTCGTTTCAGGGTCTTACTTGAACGGGGTCATCGCGATATTCCTCGCGTCGCTACTCGGTTCCTGGATTTCCTGGATTCGGAGAAAGCCAGGGTCGATCTAGATGTCTCCTGATCTACCGCTGAAAATGCTCGAACCGACACAAATGTTCTATTGACGAATGATATGGCATACATGTTATATAACCCGAGTCGTGTGCCGCGGAATCCTCTCACTAAAACCAATGTGGTTATGTAAAGAAACTGCAACTATAGATTTTTTTAGCTATTCGTACATGACAAGATATTTTTAACATATCGATCCATCAAATCCATCGTTTACATGAGAAATCATCCAGAGTGCTCAATGCTCCCTTTCTCGTCAGTGGAACCTCGCTTGTGGACTTGCTCCGAGCTTCCGGTCAGCGCAGAAAGTCCAATTCGCTGAGAGATTTTGGCCATACGCTCGCGATCGGCGGTAGCGGTGCCCGAAGAGTCCTGTAGAGACCATGAGAAATAGATATAAACATGACCCAAGCACACTCACTCCGAACGCGAGATCCATCTCCTCGAGGGTGCTGTGGCAATTTACGTCAGTAGATATAGTATGAGTTTATACCGAGCCATCTTACAGTCCCTTGGTCTCCGGAACCTAAGGGCAAGATTGAATGTCTATTTGATATGGGCACTCTAAAAGACTCACGAAAAAGTAAATGAATGCACCTCCCATGAGCGAGAACAGTCCGAAGAAGATAAATGTACCATAGGTGATACTAGGAGCATTGGTTAGCAACCAGGCCTGTGACAGAACATCAAGGAGACTTACTGATCCAGCATGCTTGGCGTAACTTGACCAACTATACGCAGACAAAGATGTTAGAGAAGTGTTGACCCTGCTACCCGACGGGTCACTAACCAATGAAGTTGTTCATCTTGGAATTGAAAAAGTTTAGATCTAGAATTCTATCGTGTCCAGATGACCTACCCAGTTGGACGAAGCAGCCACGGACATGCCCGGTCCACGAACGGAGATGGGGTAAATCTCGGCGACAAGGACCCATGCGGCAGGTCCTAAGTTGCTCGACTTGTGAGCAAGGATGCCAGGATAGTACATGATGATTACGCACCCCAGGAATATCCAAAAGCCGCAGCAAAGATCCATACGAAAACGCATGCAACCCACCCGGCGGCTATGTTGTATATTGGTTAGAGCATGCCAACTTATCAGCCTGAAAGATGTACGAACCGACGTGCCTGCGAACAGAATAAGAAATCAGGGTGCTATGCCATCAAGATAGAAAAGCTCACGAAGGCCAAGAATCGTTGAAGCGAGCGAACAGGATGGCGATGATCAGGTGGCAAACACCCATGATCACAGCACCGCTGACAAGTACTGGCTTGCGTCCGATTTGGTCAATGTAGATCACGGCTGGGATGGTAGCGAGGAACATTCTATCAGAGAAGTTGAGCATATGGAGAAACGCTGTTAAAGTTAGACACCAACGTGATGCCAACCACGCCAGTGGCAAGGAGCGAGATCGTGTTGCCACTCAAACCGAGAGCTTTGAAAATACTGGGCGCATACTGGATTCTCCATGTTAGGGTCACGCAATGTCGATGGACGGAATTACGCACATATAGTACAGCGTTGATGCCGGTCCATTGCTGGAAGAACATTGTCAGGGAGCCAACGGCAACACGGACTAGGTAGTCTAATACGAGTGGTCAGCATAATACTGCGCCCCATATCACATGCCACCTACTTCGGTTGGTTACCAAGCTCATGTATTTACCCAGACCCAACCTGATTGCCGAAGCGGTCGTTCCATCCTGGTATTGAGGGAATCGTTCCTGCTCGAGCTCTGCCTCAAACAATACTTCGGCTTTGATCTCCCTGGGTCGCTAGCGTGAGATATAATCTATAACCAACATAAACCACGTACAAGTACTCAATTTGGATCAACTCAGACTCTTCGGGCAACCCACGAGTCATGCTAAGGACCTTGGTAGCTTCGGCATCACGTCCTTGAGCCACGAGCCACCTCGGAGAGTATGGCCTAGTTTGCTAGTTCAAGTACCTCGATAGATCAATCATTGAACAAGACTCACATGAAAATCACCCCAACGCCAAGAATAAGAGCCGGAACGAGCTGGAGTGCCAACGGAATCCTCCACGCCGCTTCGGATTGACCCTCGCCAGTGCCGCCAATGTAGTTTGTGCCTGTCCGATGCTCAGTGACGGCCGGAAATCTAGCAGTTATATCCTTACCGTAATCAATCCAGAAAGAAATCATAATACCTATCGCAAAATATGAGGTTTGGAGGGCAATATGTGGATGAAGAACTTGCCCGTAACAATGGACATCTGCTGCATTGCAACCAGAGAACTGCAAACCGGTGAGCACGGACAGTGATAGGATCAATCAAACTTACCCGCGAACTTCGGGTGGGGCCAACTCGGCATTATACAATGGAACAGCCATCGACAGCGAACCAACGCCCAAACCAGTCACGAATCGGCCTACACAAGAGGTCGGTCATTTCGATATACGCTACGGCAAATTATGCGTACCTCCAAAGATAGAGCTGGGCTTGAATGCTGCGGTTTGAACAATGACGCCGATAACAAAGACGACCACGGCGAGCAGGATAGTGCGCTTGCGTCCATATTTATCGGCGAGTGGACCGGTGCAGAGGACACCAAACCAAGCTCCGAGTTCGAGAATAGCTACCAGCCAACCTGAAGAAATGTAATTAAAGCCGTGAAATAAATAAATTAGAGAGGCTGCTTACCCTTGGTGCCCGGGTCGGACACGGCAGATGCCATTCGTTGGTCAAAGGAATACATGCCCAAGACACTCGAGAACACTCCCTATTCTTGCATTGAGCTACACATATGGATGTCGTCGAACAAACACACACCTGATTGTAACCTGTGATATTCAAGAAATATTATACAAGTCCATCTCGTGGCTGGAACATGAAACACTAACCATAGAGCCTGCAAAAGCGTGAGTTGATCAATATACAGGTACATGGTCAGACTACTCACAAGCCACCCAAAGATGCAAACACCGCAATCAGAAAAACTCGACTGTTTTGAACCAACCCCGCCTACAAGGGGTAATCAGTAGCAGCCCTTGCACCCTTCCGATAAGCACCCACATAGCCAGACTTTCCAGCGAGCGCCTGACGACGTTTCAAGGCAGCTTGGCTTGTCGCACCTGCAGCTACTCCGCCGGCCATTGTGACAAAAGTTCAATGGGAAGAAGATGACTGGGGCCCCGGAGAACACTCGCCAAGCATGGTTCTGTCGCATTTATATAGTCAACTAGACGGGAGAACGCTCGGTGTTCGCGACAGGTTTGGGCAATATCCCCATTTGGACCGTGTTTAGTACGGAGTAGGGTGGCGAGGATGCAAGAATAGAAGCCGTGCCGAGTGATAGAAGTTTACCCCTTGGGCATGAGGCTGGGATGTGTAAGCAGT